ACCTCCAAAACCATCTGTGTGCCTCCCAAGTGGCCACGGAGTCCTGTCTCAAACTCTGTGCACTTGCCACTGTATTTGCTTACACATCTCTCTCTGCCTGTCCAGGAGGAAGTCTTCCTAAAAGTGCCCAATCTAGTAACAGCAAACCACTGCTGCTTCTCGCTGTGACGGTGTGCGTCCCAAGACCAACGTACAATCTCCCTTTTCTATTCTTCCCCCCCTCCAGACTAAAATGCAAGCTCATGCACCCAAGATTTCCGAGCAGACTGCCTTGGAGACATAACAGTACTCTTTTTCTAATGACTTTGGTTTAAGCCAACACTTCCAATTAATCTGTACATCGATTTACAAATTTAATTATCTTCAAGACTGAGAAGTTGGAAACCGCTTCTCTACAACGTACACTAGGCCCTCCAACAGATTTTAGGAAGACATACAGGCTGGCTATGCGATCTCTTAACACACTCTGATTTTCACCCACTTACACAGGATTTACTTTGGCCTTTAGAGCTCCCTTTCCTGTGTTAGGGAGTCATGGGCTCATATAACGTGGCCTCTGGAGTTTTGAAAAATAAACCCCGTGGCTTTCTCTATAAATATAAAAGCAGGCAATGCCTCACCCATTCACGTGGTGTAGAACTCCTAAGTCGTCATATAACAGCATCTTTTCACGTTTCAGTTTAAATGAAGAACAAAAATATAATGAAATAAAAAAAACACTTAGAATATTATGACTCTAAGCATTAGATGAGAATGCAATGATCCTCCTATTTATGTCGGCAAATGTAGAACTACATTTTTGTCATCAAATGCTCTGCAACTTACATTTTCACAGCCACAAGGCTGGTAAGAGTTAGGGGCACCTGTGTGGCTCAGTCAGTTAAGCGTCTGACTTCGGCTCAGGTTATGATCTCATGGTTTGTGGGTTTGAGCCCCGTGTCGGGCTCTGGGCTGACAGCTCACAGCCTGGAGCCTGTTTCGGATTCTGTGTCTCCCTCTCTCTCTGCCCCTCCCCTGCTCATGCTCTGTCTCTGTCTCAAAATTAATAAAAACATTTCAAAAATAAATAAAGAAAAAAGAAAAATTTTAGGGGTGCCTGGGTGGCTCAGTTGGTTAAGCATCCAACTTTGGCTCATGATCTGACGGTTCGGGAGTTCGAGCCCTGTGTCGCGCTCTGTGCTGACAGCTCGGAGCCTGGAGCCTGCCTCGGATTCTGTGTCTTCCTCTCTCTCTGCCTCTCCCCTGCTCGTTCTCTCTCTCGCTCTCTTTCTCTCTCAAAAATAAATAAATAAGCATTTAAAAAAAAACAGGCTGGTAAGATTTAAAATTCAAAATAAAGCACTGACAGGAATAGTGAGTGGGTGTGGCCAATCTCGGTACTACTGACATTTGGGACCAACTAAGTCTCTGTGGTGGGGACTCTCCTGAGCACCGTCGGAGGCCCAGCAGCATCCCTGGCCTCTGCCCACTAGATGCCAGTAGCGCCCTCCCCCTGAAAAATGTGTCCACGTGTGGCCAAGTGTCCTCCCCGCTCCCTACCGCCCTGGGGAGGGGTGAGGGGCTGCCTCTGACTGAGAACCTTCCGGTTAGGGCCACTTCTCATTACATGGCAGGAAGGCCCCCAAATTCCTAAAAGTCTTCGCTCCCTGAACACGGGCAGCGCCTCTGCTAAGTGACCACAGCTTGGCATCTGTCTGAACCCGGCCATGGGCCCTCCAGAACCGCACTTCCAGATTACTCCAGTTCAAAAAGCACAAGTCAGAAGAGGGAGAAATAAAACAGGTGCGTTCCTCCAGGCGCCGGTCAGCCGACTGCGGCCCGCAGGCCACACCCCACCTGCTGCTTCCCCTCGCGGGGCCTGCGAGCTACAAAGAGGTTTTACATTTCTAAATGGTTGAAAAGGAAATCAAAAGAATCATATTTTATGACCCATGAAATTGAGAGGACATTCAAATTCCAGTGTCCATAAATAAAGTTTTATTGGCACTCAGCCACGTTCACTCATTTACGGGTGATCGATAGCTCCTTTTACACAAGAGCACAGTTGAGTGGCTGTGACAGAGACTGGCTGGCCCTCAAAGCCTAAACTATTTACTCTCGTCCCTGACAGAAAATGCTGCCCCTGCTCCCCGTTTCCCTGCTCCACCGAAGACGACAACCGCCTTGTCTGTTCCCAGCTTGAAAGCTACCTGTCTGCTAAGCGGAGGTGATGCCCCCAACCGTGGATGCTCTCATGAACAAACCAACCGCTTTCAAAGTGAGAGCAGGTGGGGCACCTGGGTGGCTCCTTCCCTTCAGCGTCCAGAGCCTGGAGCCTGCTTCGGATTCTGTGTCTCCCCTTCTGTCTGCCCCCACCCCCCCTCAAAAATAAATAAAAAAGTTTAAAAAATTAAAATATTAAAAGTAAGAGCAGGAAAACACCATTGCCACGGTCAGCTGTGAATGGCTTTCAAAGGAGCACACGTGTAGAAATTAGGTAAATCTAAGAGAGCTTATGATTGATTAGTTGTCACTTTCTGACACACAGCACCCAACACACAGAAAGGGGATGTGATTCACAGATGATTCCCAATCTTACTCATGCACGATAGGTACTGTGGTCAGTACTCAACAGAGCGCCTTTCCTCGCAATCATCCCAAATGACCACGCGCATCTTACAAACTTCCCAATGAATTATCAAAGGCTACCAAAAAAAACACACAAAACACACCAAAACAAAAAACCCAAAGCCCAAAGTCATCTATAAAGCTCAAAACCAGTGCATCATACACGGCAGGAATTCAATGTATGCTCCATTCAATGGAACCTTGTGTTCCCTAAGTACGGAGTTAAATCCCAGTCAAAACACTGATGACCAGCAGACCTCTCCCAGCTTCTCTCTGACATTCAGAAGATGATTCAACTACATTTCAAAAAATACTCATGGAAAAGCCTGGCGGTTCACCACAATTCTAAACACGGTTACCATACGACCTAGCAATTCTCCTCTCTGATATATACCCAAGAGAAATGGAGACAGACGTCTGCACAAAAACTTGTACCCAAACGTTCAGAGCAGCATTATTCATAACTGAAAGGGAAATGCAACTCAAATGTCCACCGACTGATGGATCAACAAACGACGTGGTACAACCCTACGATGGAATATTCTTCGGCCATTAAGAAAGACTCGTGCTGCAACATGGATGAACCCTGAAAATATATTAGGTTAAAGCCAATCACAAGCTCAACTTAATTAACATTTTACAAATTTTTGTTTATTTTGAGAGAGCACGCGCACATACAAGTGGGAGAAGGACAGAGAGAGGGAGAGAGAATCCCAAGCAGGCTCCACACCGTCAGTGCAGAGCCTCATCTGGGGCTCAAACTCATGAACCGTGAGATCATGACCTGAGCTGAAACCAAGAGTCGGACGCTTAACTGACTGGGCCATCCAGGTGCCCCTACAAATTTACGTTCTCATTAGCAAACAATAATTTTCAAATATTTGAGTAAAATATCAAGATTCTTATACATTTAGGGACTCCTGGGTGGCTCAGGTGGTTAAACGTCCTACTTTGGCTCACGTCATGATCCCATGGATGGTGAGTTCAAGCCCCACGTCGGGCTATGTGCTGAATGAAAGCACAGGGCCCACTTCAGATCCTCTGTTCCCATGTCTCTCTGCCCCTCCCCTACTCGTGTGCACATGTGCTCCCTCTCTCTCAAAAATAAACATTTAAAGAAGTATATTAAAAAAATTTTTAAAGATTCTTACATGTTCACTTTGTTAAACAGTTTTGCATTACCTGGTTTTAAACAAAAAAATACCTCAAAAAGATTCTTCAGTTAAATCTAGGACTAGGATCACTTTAGTTCCAATTGCGTTTTTTTTAAAGCAATAAGCAAAAGTCTTGCCCAAATTTCCATCTTTATGTATTTAAGATTGTAAAGGTTCTGTGGGTTTTATTATTTTTACGAAGAATAGAGAAAGACCAAATTGTAAATATGAAAAGTAAATAACACAGGAAACACCAAAAAGTAAATAATAAAATCAAACCCTAAAATCCCACCTACCAAACAATGACAACTTTTGTAGAACTGGCCATCAGGTTTAGTTTGGCATATGGGCTTCCACTCTTGGCGTCTGTTTGATTTGCTCTCCTAGAAATTTTATCTTCTCCTAGATATGTAAGTAATAACCCCATGCTGTTCTAATAAGTTTCAAGGTTAACCAGCTAGTCAATTTGCAGATACAAACAAATTACATTAAGAAACTAATAAAGTCCAGGGGCGCTTGGCTGGCTCAGTCAGCAGAGCACGGGACTCTCGATCTCAGGACTGTAAATGTGAGCCCCACGTTGGGTAGAGACATTACTTAAAAAAAATAAAATTAGGGGCGCCTGGGTGGCTCAGTCAGTTAAGTGTCTGACTTCGGCTCAGGTCATGACCTCAAGGTTAACGTGTTTGAGCCCCTCGCTGGGCTCTGTGCTGACAGCTCAGAGCCTGCAGCCTGCTTCGGATCCTGTATCTCCCTTTCTCTCTGCCCCCCCCCCAATAAATAAAAATTAAAATGTTTTTAATAAATAAAAATAAAAATAAAAAATCTTACAAAAAATAAACCAATGAAGCACAAAATTAAGATACAGGAGACAAAAACGTATATCCGTGTGCCTGATTATAATGCATCTTTTGGCTTAATTTTAATTCACAATGCTGACACTGGTCTTAGAAGGTGTCATGCTCTCCTGGTAAGACCCAGAAAAGTTTAGAAGAGCTGGTTCAGTATCCAAAATTCATTGAAGGCAATAAAAGGCGAATTCATCATTTAGAATTAACCATATAGCCTGTAACGATTTCGTGGTGTTCCATCTACTGCCTTCAATGTCAGCAAGGAGGAGCCCCTGCAACTTGAAAACATGCCACTTTAGAACAGACAGTGTCCAGTTCTGGCACCTTCCACTTCTCCAAGGGGCTTCAGGTGAAAGGACAAAGACCCAACAGCATGTGGGTTGCTCACCTTTACGGTGACTTCATGTGTAGACCTCGGGACCAGTGAGCTCCCCAGCATCCGATCAGATAAACTGCCAACTGGCCGCTGGGACCTGCCTGGGGAGAAACGAGAAGATTTGAAGAAAAAAGTTAAAATTCTTTGGGAATGATTCACCTCTGGCCTCTCCTACTTCTTCTTTGTTTTCTTTTTCAAATCGGTGACATTGTTTTCCTTTTAAATCTCAGCTCAAACGAAACACATTTTATGACGTTATAATCTCCATCTTCCACTTGAACATAGACTATGCAGTTTTACCTGCAAAGTGAAAGAGGGGAAGGAGAATGGCCAGTCGGTACTGAACTCGTAGAAATCCTGGAAGGAAAGTCTCTAAGGAAATAATCAGTTTTGGTTCAGACAATGCTACTGCTCTCCTTAAATGATAATCAATGCCTATCTGAAATACCTTTGTTTTAGGAACTGTGTCATATGCAACCAGGAAACTAAACCGTACACACCTCTAAGAGAAGAAAACACGATTTAAGGAAACTTTATAGACATTGTTCACACTGACGTTTGTAACGGTCTTGCACGCATGTCCATGGGGTACACCCTCGGCTATACTGTGCTCATCAACACACAGGAGTAACATTACAATCTCTTTTTTCCCTGGGGTGCCTCGGTGGCTCAGTCGGTTAAGCATCTGACTTTGGCTCGGGTCATGATCTTGTGGTTCGTGGGTTCGAGCTCCGCGTCGGGCTCTGTTCGGACGGCTCAGAGCCCGAAGCCTGCTTTCTCGGTCTCCTCCTCTCTCTGTCCCTCACCCGTTCATGCTCACTCGTGCGCTCACTAACTCTCTCTCTCTCTCTCATGAACATTAAAAAAATTAAAAAACAAAAAAAGAATCTTTTTTTCCCTTTGGCTTCCCTAAAGTAAAGCAAAAGAAAAGCATATGGATTCAAAGCGTCTCGATGTATCCATTACTGTTTCCATACATTTCAATTCCACCCGAATGCCACCATTCGCGATTCTCAAGAAGCCAGATGTACAGCTCATAAGGGGACTTCGTATCAAAATCTTGTTTGTACTTTTCAGTCAATATAAACACTACACAGTCAACCAGAATTTATGGAACAGTATTTACCTTCTTCCTCATGAAATTTCTTTGGTTGTGAATGGATCCAGCCTCCTACATTTAAATTACCTACTATAGTCTATAAGCTCAAAATCTAAGGAAATTAGCTGCCCGCTATTTTCTCTAAATTCTTGTTCAATCACCTCAAGTGATAATAAAAAGGTGCCAGGGTTAAATATAATTCAATTCCACAAGTGAAGCTATGAGTAATGGTGTTTCTTATTAGTGAATGCAGAGCCTTGTAAAATGTTTTAAGGAAACTCAAGTAAATTAGTCCCACTGAGTCATGTTTATAGCTATGCTGTTCAAAGAAAGGAGGCTAAAACGATTTTATAGGTAGGTTCACAGGCCGTTACGTTTCATTACAGTACATTTAAAAAAAGTCATAAGGATATGTAAGATAAAAGTAATAATGAGGGCAATTTTAAAAAACCTACCACAGGGGGCGCCTGGGTGGCTCAGTCGGTTGAGCATCCAACTCTTGATTTCGGCTCAGGTCACGATCTCATGGCAGGGAGATCAAACCCTGTGTCAGACTGCACTGAGTGTGGACCCTACTTACGATTCTCTCTCTCCCTCTCCCCCTGCCCCTCCCCTGCTCACACACTCCCCCTCTCAAAAACAAAACAAAACAAAACAAAACAAAAAACCTACCACCGAAGAAGAGAGATTCAAATAAAATCCCCTTACAACTCTCTGAATAGGAATTATTCACCAGAGTGAAGCAGGCATCAAGGGATATTGATTCTGCTTATAAGATACAAATACATTTCGTTCTGAAAACACTTCTGTAGTAGAAATAAAACAGGACAATATTCCTTATAGTACCTGAAGCAGAAACCAAATTATTAGTTTAGGGATTGAGTTGAAAATTACCACAGGGGGAAAAAAATAGCCTTATGATGAAACTGCTGAATACCACAAAGTATCAAAATGTGAGCAGATGTCACCACAATAAGCCCCAAATTGCTCGGGAATTAAAACGCTAAAATCCGTAATAATTCAATAAGTAATTAATATATAAACAGCTCTTATTACAAGCTGTTCAGAAAAAACCTTTAGAATCAAATTCTTATTTTTTGGTCCAAAACAGATGGTAACTCACAAATTAGTGTCTTGGAATTGAAGATTATCTTTTATATATGTTGTTAGACTCAGTAAGTGTAATTAACATCATCTGTGTGTTACAAACACACAAAATAGGGAAAATATGACTGGTTGAGAACATTCTTCTGCTTATGCAACATGTCAAAATTAATTAGTTTATTGATAGAAACAACAAATTAAGATGATAAAGCCGATCTTCTGATACCTAATCGTAACTGATTTTCCCATTATCGTTACCCAAACGGAACCATTACCAATAATCACCAATGGCAAAAAAGGTTCACGTCCTGCAAAGCCTGTGTGTGAAATGCCAATCATTTTAACCAATGCAACACACAAGGTAACAATAAACGCGAAAAGGACTGCACGATTTTCTGGTTGCTCCTCAGCTCTTGGCAAGGCATGGGGTAGACACATCCTGGCAGTCCGTCCACGTAGGAGGTACAGAGCCTCAAGACATTCACAGTGTTGCACAAACATCCACTCTGTCAAGTCCCAAAACATTTCCGTGGCTCCAAAAGGAAACCTTGTACTCATCAAGCAGTCCCTCTTCTCCTCATACCCTCTCCCGGCTCTGGCAACCTCCAGCCTACCCTCTGTCTCTCTGGCTTTGCCCATTCTGAGCATTTCACACAAATGGAAGAAACAATACCTCCCGTGTCGGGCATCTTTCACTCAGCATCGTGTTTTCAAGGTTCGGCCATGATGCAGCCTGCCCAGGGACCTCATTCCTTTCTGTGGCTGAACGGGATTCTACCGTATGGATGAACTTCATCTTGCTCATCCGTCCGTCAGTTCAAGGGCATCTTGGCTTCTGTGAACGGTGTCGCTATGCACATTCGTGCGCCAAGTGTTGGAGGCCCTGTTTTCCATCCCTTCAGATGTATACCGGGGAGGGGCATTGCCCTATAGCATTCTGCCTTCTTCCTCCTTTGTTGGAGCCGCATCCTCTCCAGGACTGACAGACGCCAACAGGACGGGCAGAGGGAAGGAGTTCAGCGAGCAGGGTCCTGGGGACGGGAGCCGACCGCTAGCCGGGGACAGGCAGGGAGGTCTGCACGAGGAGCAGGGTGCAGGAGGGAGCCCAGGCCCCCACCAGCACGACAGCTACAGCTGGTAAATGGCTCTGCACGGCAAACACCGCGACAAAGAGTGAGTCACTATTTCTCTGCTCGGAGCAAAGCACATTACTCTCCTGTTCAGGATCTCTGCGAAGCGCCAGGCATCAGAGAAACCGGATTTGCTTTGTTTTGCCGCCGCCCCCCCCCCCCCGGCTTTAGCACCCAAGTTCTGACTTCAGACCTGCTCACATTCCTGGGCAGATCCATCAAGGGCCACTTGGGTTGACAATGGTTGCCCAGGTGACTTCGCAGATTTAATACTGAGACTTTGTATGGACCCAGGCACGTAATACTGAATAAAAGCATGCAATTGCTACAGCGTATCCGTACTTTAACACAGTGGTTCTGTCTGGGGCGACTGTGTCTTCCACCCCTGGATATGTTAGGCACGGTCTGCAGACGTTGTCGGCTGTCACAACCGGAGGAGGAGGAGGTCCAATGACCACTACTGGGGAGAGACCAGGGATGCCGCTGGACATCCTAAAACTCACAGGACAGCCTACCCGCAAGAAAGTCTGACTCGCGGCAAGATGTCAATAATGCCAAGGTGGAGAAACTTGAACAAAACAGATTTGAGACTCAGCGAGTTCTTCTCTTCGTGACTCCTAATTTCTACTGTGAAATACTAGAAGGTGAATAACACTTTCAGGCAGGTCTTCGATTCAGAAAGAAGTGTCTAGGGGAAGCTTCCATAGACCATCACAATGCCTCCTTCCTGGTTGCCCGAGTTATAAAACAAAGCCAACAGCCCACATGGATCACTAAGGCAAAGGGACAAAGCATATGTTCTTACTGATCATAAATTAAATGCTTGATTCTATCTCTTGGTAGAATAGAATTCAATTTGCACAATAAAGGGTGTTTTTTGTCTAATTATTTATTTTAAGAGACAGAGCAAGTGGGGGAGGGGTCGAGAGAGAGGGAGAGAGAATCCCAAGTAGCCTCTGCACTGTCAGGGCGAAGCCCAATGTGGGGCTTGAACTCACAAACTGTGAGATCATGATCTGAGCCGAAAGCAAGAGCTGAACATTTAACCCACTGGGTCACCCAGGCGCCCCTTCAACGTGTGTTTATTTTTGAGAGACAGAGCATGAACGGGAGGGGCGGGGGTGGGACAGAGGATCCGAAGCAGACTGTGCGCTGACGGCAGTGAACCCCACATGGGGCTTGAACTCATGAACCGTGAGATCATCACCTGAGCCAAAGTCGGACGCCTAACTGACTAAGCCACCCAGGCGCCCTGTCGATGGCGGCTGTTTTTTAAACTGCCCATGGAGCAGGACAGAGGCCTCCTACCGACAGCCAGCACCGCCTGCCAGACACGTGAGGAAGGCACCACGGAAGCAGGTAACCCCCCAGCCCTGGTGAAACCCTCAGAAAACCGCAGACCCAGGGTGGCCTCTTCAGTGCAACGTCATAGGGGCCCGAGCCAGGCCCACCCTGCTGAGTCACACTGGCATTCCTCAGCCTCGGGACCCAACTCATGGTGAAGGGCAGGTGAGACACCTGACCGGGGCCAGGCGCCCTTCAGCAAGTGCGTGTGATCATTATCCACAGGCTGGGGACGATCACGGGCAGGGCTGCGCCACGGAAGCCTAAAACCAAATGAGCTGGGGAGCCCGACAACTAGAGGTCTGAATGCACCAAAGCGACAGAACGATGTTTTCCGGGCTGTCAGTGCACGTTTGGTCTGCGTCAGCTGAGAAACGGTTCCACGATCCAATCGGATGGGACACACTGGGTTTCGTGAAGTTATTAACAAACAAGAATAGTGGTT